AMCMWWWAWTTTYMRGGKTTTTTTTSYKGRAARRAWYCCYYCMAWKKWAAWWMMAWTTWAGATTTAGCGTGATTGACGCTGCTTTTTGGAAAATGGCGGTTTACTTTGATCACAAAATACAAGCACCAAGTGTYGGTGTTCAAACAGACATTGCTTGGCATAGCAGTTATTCACTACTGGCTGTTGCATCTAAAAATGAACCTGRAGTTGGCGGAGCAGTTAATTTATATTTAGATGAGGTGGGAATTCCATATATATTTATAATCTTAATATAAATATATTAACAATCTGATAACTTGTCAATTGCACAAATGCTATAAAGGTTATTTCATCTTTGAGTGATTTTGTGTTTGTATTATGACACTTATGTAAGAGTTATGATCATTAAGCTAACACTTCTAYGAAAAAGAAAACATTTTAATGATATGAATTCATTATCAATTTCTAGGGGGAACTAGTTGAGGAATCATCTATCCAACGTTCAAGTACTGTTACTGGYTTTTCRTGGCATCCTACAAGAAAGATTCTTGCTGTTGGATGGGAAAGTGGTGATATTTTAATATGGAATGAACATGACCATGAGTTACATGAGGCCACAACTGTAYATACTACAGCTATCCAAGTAATTGCATGGAGTAATAGTGGAAGTAGATTAGTAACTGGTGATCAGGTATGTATACATAGTAATATGGCTTAGGACTGGTTCTGACTTGAGTCCAACTAACTGGATTTACATATAATGCAGCATTTATAAATTTACATTATTTAAGTGATTTACATCTAGCCTGTTCATGTTTTCTATTCACTGCATAAGCAGTTGTTTTTAATCCTGCATTCAAAACTGAGATGAACAATCGCCTTTGTGAAACTGAATCATGTAAACAATCATTTATTTCCCAAGAGTGGAGTGGTTGCTGTATGGAAAGCTGATCAAAGAGGTAGACTTCAACAAAACCCTGTGTATCAACATAACCTTCAATCTCCTGTTAATAGATGTGTTTTTAAGAATTCCAGTGAAGGGTAAGTTATCTTYATGAGAGTGATTATACAATAATATATCATCACAGCTGGGATCATTATTTAAACTATTAATATTCCCTGTTATAAATCAATGAATACCTTCATCTTTGTATATTTTGTTTAAGATCTGATGAGCCATCATGGAGGAAAAGCAAATTAGCTGCTTTATCACAAAGCAGTGGAGACAGTTCATTCTTTGTGGGAACCCATAATGGTAAGCTAGAAGATCACATTGTTTAGTCCTAMTAAGTGATTAAATAAACTACCAATGTTACTGGGATTTGTTGATTTTGTGTTCCAATACATAGAAAATTGCTTAACTAAAAGAATAGAGACAAGAGGACATTGTCTTCAATCATGTAAAATCCTGGTTTCACATCAATTTTCAAATTATAAAACAATAGTGTTTGCCTTGCCAAGGTGGTAGTTAAATGTGTTCTGACAATTKTATTGSTCTTTTTATTCAGGGTCTGTGCATTATGTAGACACAAAGGGTAGATGTTCACAGTCTTTTACTTCAGATGGTCCCATTAAAACCTTATTATATTGTGAAGGCAAAGATGTATTRGTAGCCGTCACAGATGGACTCATTTTAACACAGCATAATGTCAATAAAGATGGTTCAACAACTGAGATTATGAAGGTAACATATTTTTCACACCTTTTGATATTTCAATTCATCATCCTTCTACTATGTACTCTTGTGTAATCATCTAATCTGATGTTATATAATGAATCTTTAGGTCAAAGTAAGTGGAAATGCTTCAAAAAGTCAAATGATATGGGCTGGAAAACATGTATTAGCCACTGCGTCTGGAGAAAATGTTGTAAGGTAAGACAAAGAAAAAGATGCAGCAACACAAAAGCATAGACGTTTATACAATTTACTGTCAAATTGTCAATACTAAAACTGCATCGTCATGTGGATCTCTTTGTTCTATAGAATGTGGAATCTAGATCAGGATGACAACTTTGCCTTATCTCTTGATGGTGGTGGCTTTGAAAGTGGAGAGGTTGTTAGCAACATTGCMTTTAACAAATCAAAAGGTGAGTGAGGAATCAATGCTGATATATAGACATACAATAATAATAAAGCAATGGAAATGTACTGTCAAAAGTTAGAACAGCATTCTCTATTCCTTATTGTCTAACAGTGTATAGTTATCATTGCTTAGTAATGAAATATTATTTAATCGATACCATWATATCATTTGCATCATAGGAATGCTTGCAGGCTGTACCAATAAGGGTAAAGTTGCAATGTGGAAGTTCAATGCATCAAATCAAGAACAATCCCAATGGAGTCTCCAACCACCAGTTGTTCTAGAAGGAGAAGCAGAACTAACACAAATAGAGGTATGTATGTATTGATGTATTGTATAATATAGTATAGACATAATACAAGAGTATAAGTTATCTGTTTTTCAATAACTTAGTTTGCAGGTACAAAGAATGTCCTTGCTGTAAATAGTGTAGCAACTGTCATTATTCTCAATGAACAAGTCATGAATGCACACTACAATCGCCAGGTAAGCTGTACATACAATAAATACATCTGTTACTAGTTTAGCAAATTCATTGTAGTTTGGTATGATCACTATGGATCCAGGGGATGGACACCCCAATTTGAATGACTTGTCCTTCCTGCCAACCTAGAATAATCTGCACACTTCCCATCCATCAACCTAAACAACCAATGCCTCCTCTTGTCAACATGTACTGTCTGAAATTTGTGTGATATTTTACTAATACTTTCCTAGTGATTRTCAAGTTCTATAAGTTGGTTAACCACTTCTTAACCTGTTTTACTGTAGGTGGCAGCAGTACAARTATCACCAAGTCAGCTGTCTGTAGAAAATATGACAAGCTCAGTTCTTCAGGATCTAAAGACAGATGTTCATATCAAAGGAGTGTATGTTACTAAGGTAAACTGTTATGAAAACAGCTGGATTGAATTTTAAAATATTTTAATTTTGTAAAATTTTATCAGTATATTTATAATTTATTAATAATTGATATAATTTATTTATAACTGATATACAATGATTATAAACAACAGACGCACACAACRATATGGAACGGAAAAAGAGTTGTTGTTTATGAAGTGTCTCCTGACAAGGCAATGGTTAGGGCAGAAGGTAAGATAAACCTCATTCGTATTGTTCAATTTGTTACACAAAAGCATGGTGCCAACTGTTTTGATTTTGCCAGGATCTTTTGCTTCTGACTCGCCAGTGGTTGTGGTACATGAACAGAGTGTTTATACAGCTGAGCCAGGCAAAGTTCAAGTCAGAACATTTCAGGTAATTCTAGTTCAACTAACAGTTAAGAGAAAGATAAATATCACAAAAGAGAATTTTGGGCATGTGTTGAGTTAATCAATTATACCTCCCATGCTATCTAAAATGCCAGCATGATATGTTACTTGTGTAGTTGTATTCCAATGATAAATGTATAGAATTTATTATTTTATTGATAAAATGTTTAATAATTGTTCTTCAGGGTACAGTCAAACAGGTGTTGCCTTTCTCTGAGACTGAAGGAGATCCAATAATATTAGATTTGTGTGGAAACTTTTTGGTAGCTGGATCATCTTTAGGATATGTCAAGATTTGGGATTTATCCAGAAGGTAGGATCATCATGATACTGTTGAGTATTATCATCACTAATATCCTTAATATCGTGGAAGTTTGAATTGATTAATCATCATTTAAAAGTATAATGGTTATTATTCTATTACATATCATTTTAAAACCTGATTTTACTAAGAGATATTAATGATAGATAATAGATGATAGATGATAATTTCAGCTTGTCTCCTATCCTTATATTCATATTAATAACTTCTCATGGTCTGCATACAATATTGTTTCATATTTGATGTTCATATTTTGTAGAGAAGCTAAGCAGCATGCTAATCCCAAGAACTTGACTGAAGCCATTGCTGATCTTGGTAAATTAAAGTGCGTCAAATGTAACTGTAATGGTAGTAAAGTGAGCATCCTTTGTGATAAGGTTAGTAAAACAGGATTACCATTAGAACATTATGACTGGTGGACTTGTAACATCAAAACACTCCATAAACTTTCTGTGCTATTTTGTCCTTTCTTCAAATCAAAGGGTGGGATATTAATTCAATGTTAAGAGTAACAGAAGTGCATACTGGTTTCAGTTTTGTAGTATTTTTGATTAACATTGGACACAAGAAGAGAAACTTTAGAAGCAAAGTATATCTTGAAAAGTAGAAAAGTGTAGCTCAATTTCAAAGTGCATGTTTATAAATGATTGTTTTCATTTACAGTCTAATAACAGTCCTGACCCAAAGATCCATATTTGGGATATCGACACAGATGCAGTCCAYACATTTGACTTTGCAACAGGACAGGATAGTACTGCTGACATGGATAATGATGGGATAGATATTGTTGGACGGGCACAGCAAAGTGCAGAAATTGCTGGTCATATACCRGTATCTCAGTTTTGGGATTCGTCTGACCCTAAGCTTATAGTATGTGAAGCTGTCAGCTCATCATCTGGTAGCAAAGAGAAGACAAACAAGAAGTCATTYAGTATTTTACCAAAAGATGGAAAAGATGGACAATCACAGGTTTGCTTACTGCACTATGTTTTTTTTTCATTATATTTCTAACTGATTCGTTTTTTTCAATAGAATGATGTTCTGGTAGTATCTTTATTCAGCATTCCAGATAGTGGGACATTATTACAAGATTGTTTTTCTATAGACTCAACAAAAAGGAGTAAGTTACATTGTGTTACTCATAAATAATATAAGAAAAACCTTTTTATTAACACAATTTCATTTTATATTTTTTTAGAACTTATGGGTGTTGAAATACCATTTCTTTTCCTCATGCAAAAGGTAATACTTATTTCATGCATTTTGATGTGGACATGATGATGATACAAAAATATACATTTGATTATATCATTTCCTTTCAGAATTCTCTGAATGTTGAACAAGAATCATCAGCATCACCAAACACACCTCCCAGCTATCGGCATAAAATGGTCATAAAACACACCATCAAAGACTTCATTGGACTTGAGGAYGCTAATGAAGAAGCAAAAAAAGCCATGATGGACTTTAGCTACTTGTCTGCTATAGGAAATATGGATGAAGCTTTTAAAGCTATAAAGCTCATAAAAAGGTTACAATTATTAAASTCTATCGAACAAGATAATCATTATTATGTGAGATACATATGAATAAAATAGATACAGTCTATTATACTATTCTTCATCAAGATTTTCATTTGCCTGATGCATTTACCAGATTACGTTTGCATTTTCAGTGAATCTGTCTGGGAAAATATGGCAAGAATGTGTGTGAAGACCAAACGATTAGACGTTGCATCGGTGTGTCTTGGAAACATGGGTAATGCACGTGCTGCCAAGGCACTAAGAGAAAGTATCATCTCTGAACCTGAACGAGATGCAAGAGTGGCAATGCTGGCTGTGCAGTTAGGAATGTTGGTAAGTTGTTATATTTGAGGATTTTATGTAGTTTTCAMCTGTATTAATAATTGTTGTTGTGCTTGCTTACAGGAAGAAGCTGAAAAGTTGTACATTGGCTGTGAACGATTTGATCTCTTAAACAAATTTTATCAAGCAAATAATCAATGGACTAAAGTAATGAATACATCTCATTTGTAACGATGATTGATTCACTTTTTGTTTGATCAATCRATGATTGATTGATTGATTGACAGCTTTCTATAACTATATATTGTTTTGATTTTTCCCAGGCYGTTGAAGTRGCTGAACTCCAAGATCGTATTCACCTGAGAACCACTTACTATAACTATGCCAAGCACCTTGAGATAACAGGCAATATATCTGGCGCTATAAACAAGTAATGTTTCCTTATTGCACTTTTAGCGTTATAGCCTATGCCAATAAATTAGGCACGAATACACTTGAATTTTACTCTTTTTGTCAAGTTTCCATCTATTTCATCAYTTGGTCTTTTTGCGTTTTTGTTAGCTTATCGTTGTTGTTTTTTTTTTCGGTACCATTTATTCATGCTCATTCATTTATGCAGTCATTTGTTTATTTTGTTTTTGGATTGATGAAGCTCCACCTTAATTGTAGTAATATTATTACACTTTTTAGCTACGAAAAGTCTGAAACACAACGCTTTGAGGTTCCTCGAATGCTTCTCGATGAACCGCAACAACTTGAGTCCTACATTCTAAAACACAAAGACAAGTAAGCGTTTTCCTTCAGTTAAYATAGTTTTAGTTTTGTTTAACCAAATTGTTTAATAATCTTTAGGGAGCTGCGTAAATGGTGGGCACAATACATGGAAAGTACAAGTGAAATGGAGACTGCACTACAGTTTTATGARGCTGCACGCGATAACCTATCCCTTGTTCGTGTTTATTGTTACTGCGGTAATCTAGAAAAGGTAAAACCATTAAACCGGGATTTTTTTTGGTTGTTAGTATGTTGGTTTGTCATTGCTTTCTTGACAATGCTCTTTCCAATAGGCAGCTGAAATCTGCAATGAAACCGGTGATCGTGCCGCGTGTTATCATTTGGCTCGTCAGTTTGAAAACCAGGTAAAATTATCTTTTGGCTGCTTGTCCAATTAACGCAATTAACAAAATGGACAATTCTTCTCTGGAAAAGGGGTGCACCCCTTTTACAAGTCRTAACCAGTTTTTCGCGAAAATCCTAAAGATTAGATCATTGCGATTTTAAATTTCGCAAAAGTTTTAGTTTTATTKCAGTCCCTGATGTAAAAAGGGTTTATGCTCATTATTATTTTTTTTTATCTGTGTTAGGAAAACATAAAGGACGCCATTCATTTCTACACTAGGGCGCAGTGTTACAGTAATGCAATACGACTYGCCAAGGTTTGTCGAAAACGATATATTTTTCGTTGGCTACTTTTATTTAAAAAACTCCCATATTTTATAGGAGCATGGTTTGGATAACGAGCTAATGAACTTAGCTTTACTTAGTTCGTCGAAAGACATGCTTGACGTTGCAAGGTAACTGTTTGTTTATTTACATCACTGCATGTGAAATTTATAGCACAGGGAACCCAAACAAGAAGTATCCTAGATTATCAAGTACATCCTCTTTCTCAAAAAAATATACATGAAAAAACAAAGCTTTGAACATTTGCGGTTTCGTTTCGCTATTTAATAAAAAGGAGTAAYGAATCCGAATCGAAATTGTGCGGTTTTCCTAGTTGAAACTCTGGTTTAAAACGGTGTTGAATCCTAAACTGATTTTTTATTTTTTTCACAAAAATAATGTTTAGTACTAAAAATTAATTAGAGTTTAAAAAAAGGGTTTCTCGTTTTTTAAGCGAAAAAGAAAAGAAAGAAAAAAATTCTAGCAGAGCGAGGTTTCGATCCTCGGACCTCTGGGTTATGGGCCCAGCACGCTTCCACTGCGCCACTCTGCTATTGACATGAAAATCGGGTCTTTTATTCATTAAATATACCATTCATTCTATAGAATCGTTGAATCATTCATGATTTTTGTTGTGGTCGTTGCTTGAATATAAATTTCAAATCTTCAGAATCTTATTTYTGTCTTAATAGCTGCTGCAATATAATAAACATGTTCTTTTAAGGAGCTCAAATTATGCTTAAACGTAACTTAATATAAATGTTGCATCATCACCGGACCGACAGAATATCAATGACTAAAGTAGCCAAAAYCCAAGTATATTTTTTCTGTACAATACCGATGCGAAGGTCCTACATTAAGTAAAAATCTTCAGGATTACATGTAAAAGATCGTATATTATTATTGCAATATTTCGATAGCTGTCGTTGGGCTTCCTGTGGAGTAAGATTGAGAATTTACATATTTTAATGAATTTGTATTAAAACCGTTCYTTATTTATTAGATATTATGAGGGCATTCCTAACATGCAAGATAAGGCTGTCATGCTCTATCATAAGGTATTAAAAAAAACAAATTTCTTTGATTGTTAATAATTTGATGATAATTAATAATTTTTATATTCTTTTGTTCACTTGTTCATTTATTCATTGTTTGACACTGTTGGTCTACAGGGTGGTAATGTCACCAAAGCCCTTGAGCTTTGTTTCCATACCCAACAATTTGCTGCACTTCAAGTGATAGCAGAGGACTTGGACGAGAACACCGACCCTGAAATGATTGATAAATGTGCTGAGTTTTTCATGGAACATGGACAGTATGACAAAGCAGTTGATCTATTCATTGTTGGCAAAAAGGTAAAACTATGAACTTAAGCTACTGTTACTGCCMCAACCTCTTTCTTCCTTTGCTTTTCCCTTACAATGATGAAAATAAATTTATAGTTTTTTGAATACTAAAAATAAATATCTGAWTTAGTTCCCTCAGGCGCTTGAACTCTGCTTGGCWCATAATGTAACAATAACTGAAGAACTGGCTGAAAAAATGACTTTACCAAAGGGCGAAGAAAACAGAACAACCATGCTGGAACGAATCGCAGAATGTGCCATGCAGCAAGGCTCCTATCATTTAGCTACTAAGAAATTTACTCAAGCTGGTAACAAAATGAAAGTATGTAGTATTCAAAATCTCATTTGACATTTTATTTGTACTGTATGTTTGTTTGTTTGCTTATTTGTGCATTCTGAAGTATCCATGGTGACTGCTCAACTAACATTAATGTCTTTTTTTTAGTAGTGATCATTAAAAATTGAAGAATACATCTTTTCATATTATGCATTTAAATAATGTTTTTAATTTTTTAGGCGATGAAAGCACTTTTGAAGTCCGGGGACACTGAGAAGATTATTTTCTTTGCCGGCGTCTCCAGGCAACGTGAGATTTACGTCATGGCTGCCAACTATCTCCAGTCCCTTGACTGGCGTAAGGATCCAGAAATAATGAAGAATATAATAGGGTTTTACACTAAAGGACGTGCACTTGATTTACTGGCTGGTTTTTATGACGCATGCGCACAAGTAAGTATCTAGCGGGAGGCAGGGAGATGCAACACCCTTAAACTTTTCTTCTTGGTGTAGTAATACATAAATTCCACTTTTAAGACGCGAAGTAAATAATGTTGAAAAATATTCGTATAGGATCCCTCACCGTTTTCTTTTCCTAACGGAAATAGGAAGACACATCGTCTCAACTCACTATGACATGATTTGTGATTTTTAGGTTGAAATTGACGAGTACCAGAACTACGATAAAGCCCTTGGTGCACTCGGCGAGGCGTACAAGTGCATTGCTAAAGCTAAAATGAAAAATGTTATTGAACAAGAAGAGAAAATTAACTTTTTAAAATCAAGAATAGGATTGGTGAAGAAGTTYGTACAAGCTAGAAGGTGATTTGACACAAACTGATTGGTCTGGTTATTGACACGCACCGTTATAGTTATTTTGTTTGTTGATAAACAGAGCTTACGAGGAAAATCCCGAAGAAGCCATTAAAGGTTGCCAGCTTCTTCTTGAAGAGCCTGACTTAGAAACAGCTGTACGGATAGGGGATGTTTATGGTTTAATCATCGAGTATTATGCCCGTCAACAAAATCATTCTAAGGTATGCTGCTATGATACGTTGTCAGGAGCCCGCTCCTGATGTGGTATGGTACTTCATCTGGCGTACTTGGGTTGTGTGGTGAGGTATGTTAGTATGATTTAGTTATACTAACGTCACCCTCTTTTATACCAGGCCTACTCTTTCATGGAAGACATGCGTCAGCGTGTACCGACTGTAAATATGGCTTATTACGTGAACATGAAAACGATTGAAGCAGTCCATAAATCCTTAGGGATACCCCTTGGGCGTGGCATGGGTGCAGAGAGGGAAATTAAGGCTGGTTTGGACGAAGATGAAGGAGARGAAGTCGAAGAAGAAGTCGAGGAAGAAATTTTTAATGGACACGATGGCTATTGATGTTAMTTTATGTAAAAAGCGATAGAACTGGTTCACGCGAATGACTCGTACTACTTCGACAAAAATTTAACAAAAAGTATTTCACAGTTTCTTTTCGTATTGTACACACCTATGAACCTCAACTGCTACAAGGCTTCATACAGCTGAACACCTAAATCCTTAATGCCAGAAATCTCGTAACCTAGAAGAGTAGACTAAATAGCATTATCGTCCTCGTGTGAACCAGCCAACATAATATTTATCAAAATAAACTTATTAGTAATGAACCAGAGAACAATATAGTTGTATTCTAAGGTGGACATCGCTAAAGATAGTTTTGCTTATGTCGTCATGTTTTAATTTCGTTTAACAGTAGTTTTGTACTAAAATAACCTCCTTGTAAAATAGCATGAAGTTTCATCTAGGTACAGACTCCCGATGTACTCGTCGATTATAGATTGCCGCACCATAGCCATGTGGCTCGAGTGACTCGAGTATAACTCAACCTTGTCACTAAAGCTTCTGTGATTTTGTGAATAAATAAAGCATTAGACAGCCAATATGACATTTATGTTTTAGAATTCACACTTCCCGGGAAACCAAATTGGGGTTAATCACTTGTTCAAGGCTTCCGTGGAGTCTTATGGGGCGCGCGTCTGCACTGAGGGCACATTGATTGGGCTTCCTGTTTTCAATAGTAGTTACCAGTCTTTCACATTTTATCGGAAGGAAGATGGCGGATAAATTTAAAATGATTCACAGGGGAAAGCCAATATGTTTTCATAAGTGAAAGCTTCTCGTGTTTATGGAATCCTTCGAGGAATATTTCAGGTTATCATCCAGATAAATCTCTGGTTTCTTTTTTCATAAACAAACGTATTTTCTCTTACTCATGCAGCTCCCAGGAACTCCAACAGCTTAGGCAACAACAACCTCAGAATCTACCACAACTCAGAGGAGCAAAGCAAAATGCTCCCGATGTAAATAACATTGAGAGCCAGCAAAGAGAAATACAGGAAATTATATATGGACACATTGGAGTTTTGAAAGAAGAAAGGATTATCAGGAAGTGCGTTGTTTGTTTCATCATAGTCTTCATTTCCAATATTTCATCTTATTTATGCCGTCTTAATTGAGTCATTCAGTGGGCCATTGATGTATTTATGATTGAATTTTATCATTCATCCATTTATCATTTCATATCTTCATCCATTCCTTCATTTATTTACCCATCGTTTTCATTCATTCTTGCTATATTTGCGATACATTGCCCTGTGATGATAACAAAATGTTTAGTGTTGATTTGTTATTTTAGGGGAATTATCTCTACAGCATCATGGGACAGTGATAATTCTTATTCAGTAGTTACATCACAAAAGGTAGATTGTTCAGTTTTTTATTCATTAAAAAAAACATATAAAACTATATTTTTTTATAATTTCAAATCAATTACACCCTTTTCTTATTAGGGAAGTTACTGGAATTATTTTGGGAAGAGATGTCAAGACAAGATGATTTTAAATGTAGAAGAGACTCTTTTCCTTGTTGAGCAGGTGATATCAAAATAGAAATATTTATGCTGTTGTAACACAGTTATGTAAATGGTTGTTTTAAACAGGGCTGCTTAGAGTTATATCATGGTGGTATTCCTATGTCAGTACAACAGGTAAACTATTAATTTAAAAAGATTTTTGCTTAAAGGGACACTGTCAATGGATGACATGCGCAGTAACAGTCTCGCCTCTAACGGACTTTGAAAGTATTATCTTCGAGGTAAATCATTTTGTGGTGCTTTTGACACACTTTGGAATATTCTAGATCTGTTTACGTTTACAAGCTGATTTATGTCGCACCAACTTGGAGTCATAAACTTGAAAACATTAGCCTAATGTTTTCAAGTTTACTTGCGCATGCATGCCATTGACAGTGTCCCTTTAAGATTAATTCATATCTTTTTATATGATAAACAATGTCATTGAATGAAAATGAAAGTGGGAATTCCAGGGTAAAATGGATAGCAGTAGTAGAGGTACAGAAAGTATATTTTTTTCTTTATTTTGTTTTGATGATATTGAATTTTATATTTTCAGACATTCTCTAATCTGATCCCATGTTTAGTAAAGATGTCTTTTAATCACTATTTGGTAAGAAAAAAATATATTCAAATCCTTGGGAATGGGTAGAGGACACTATATTTACCAAAGTCTTACCATAAAAAAATGAGCATCTTACTTTGTCATCATTTGATGATTGAATTTTCTATTAGTAACTCTTGTATCAAACATTTATTATGGAATTGGCATCAAATGTATAATGATTTTATTGATAGGTTTATGGTTACCTACTAAGACTTGGCTATGTTGTCTGTCGACATCAACAGAGGTTTGGATATTGATTTATATCATAATTTCAATATTGCTGAAAGTTAAAACATAACAAAAAAACATACTAGTATAAGTTAAATAGTGCAGTTGGGATCGGAAATAATTATGTTTGCTGCATGAATCCAGAAGTATGACGGTCTTTATCACTATGTAGACTATCTGCTGATTTTAAGAAACCTCTACAAACGTTGGACTTTAGACAATCAGCTCAACAGAGCCATGATCTTGAATGTGATCATGCATCATGTAGCAGTGCAACTTTGGTTCAACCAAGAGATGCCAAAACAACTGGTAAGTCTATAATAATATTCATCATCATCATTTTCATCATCATTGTTTGATTTTTAGAATCAGCTTTTGTTCCTTACTTTGTTTATTCTTCAGCATCAGTCTTGTCAAAACTGCAGGTTATAAAGACACATAGAATGGACACAGTTGTTCCTCCCTCWAAAGGATCATATTACAACATAGACTTTGATGTTTATCTTCCTGGGGCTCACTTCAAGAAATCAGACCCAGGGAAGCCAGCCTTTTGTATTTCAGTGTGCAGGTACTGCAACAGTTTGGTAGATTAAGTATACAGGAACCCTATTTATCTTGGTTATCTGTCAAAAAATTGAAAATTTTCCTTTTGCACCTGAAACTATTACATGTATTAGTTGTTATTAGAATTTTTTCAAATATCATTAATTATTTTTGTTGTAGATATTCAGATCCTCCTCCCTCTCTTGCTGTACTTAACAACTTGGCTCAGCAGTGTCATCCAGTACCACTAAAGTTTGCTTTAACCGATAATGGTACTATCACTATAAACAGCTTATTAGATGTTGAATTACCTGTGTATGTAACAAATGAATGAGAACAATTTCATGAATAAAGATGTTATACACTGTTAACTGTGGATATCCCAATCCCCTTCCACCTCTTTTCTGATATAATCTTTCTTCATCGGTGTCCAAGAAAATTATTAATTGGATTATGATCATAAGTACATAACAATTTTTTTCATGTACTTCTGATTATAATGTCAAATACTTTTGGGTTCCCTGTGGAAAACTATTACTTTAAGGTCAGCGGTCAAATTTCAAAATACAAAATGGCGGCAACTTATCAGGTATATGCGAACTTTTGATTTAGMTTTGTATTGGTCTAGTTAACATTTTTTATTTGACTTTTAAGGAACGCATTTTAGCTGAAAGAAAGCGAATTCACACGTATGTTTTCGACGTTGCGTTTTCTCCATGTGGTAATTTTTTTGCAGCTTGTAACAACTTTGGTAACATCGCAGTGTTCAGGTAATCCCGGTTCTCTTTTTGCWTGTGTATTTTCAAGTCATGTGTGCATTAATCAATKCCTAAACTAGTATTTATTGCTTAAAGTTTGTCCTCAGCACTTGCTCCAGATGCAGACTCGCAAAGTAGAAAACCTTTGTTCACCTTTCAAGGTAATTAAGCTTGCCATATCAGCTCACTTTTTATTCAAATGTACATATAAATATTCACAATTCATTGGTTGTGAACATGATACTGTTTTGATACCTCTCATTTGTACTAAATCAAAGTGTAAACTAAAAAATGAAATATCATTGCAGCTCAGAGTGGACCAATCTACACACTCTTATCCACAAACACATTTCTTATCAGGTATATTATACTTCCTCGTAGTAAATAGCATACAATAAAATATTATATAAATGAACCTGGTTAAGTTCAATTTGTGTTTTTACACATTTTTACATTTAAACTTTAGTGGGGGATCATCAGATATCAATGGATGGCGCTGGGATGATATTCTAGAAATGGTAATAGACTATTATACCATATGCATTGGGTTATAGATTTCAGTGCTGCACTAGTATTACTTAAGCTTACAACATTTTGTCTATATAGTCAACTGGGTCATCATGGATACTGACTCCTCCATCAAGGTATAGTAAAACATGCTAAAACAATCAATAATAATAATAATAATTTATTTTGAATTACTTGGCATTTCAGCAGTCCTACAAAGTTTACCAAGAATAAACCTGATAGATTTATCATTGCATTTGCCCCTTGTCATCTTTGTCTATCATTAACACAGGCAGCCCACCCATCTGCATTTTTACTGTGTGTATGTTTAGTCATCTACTTCTCAATTTTTGTAATAGTTCAGCAGATGCACCTGAAACCAATTCTCTTGTTTATGACAAGGAGGTATGTTATTTGAAGAAGCTGCTAGAGTACAAACACTAAAACTGTGCAAYATAAATACCACTAAATACTGCTAAATTATGCTAATTCTATTGTTTATATTGTTTAATTTAACACTATTTTGTAGTAAATAGTGGAAAGTGTTGCACACATTTAATGTTTGCGCTCTATCTTCTAGCATTATTTACMAAATTAAATTAATGGTCTCATAATGAAGTCTTAATTTTCAGAGCAATGTTCTTTTCTCTGGTTGTGGAGACAATAATGTGTATGCTTGGGATTTAGAAATGGGTTCCTGTAAGGTAACACTCACACTAATTTAAAATATTATTATTTTATGTTTCTCTATGAATGTTTTTAATTCTTACAAAGAACATTGTCTGATGAAATAGAATACCTTCAAAGGCCATACYGACTATATCCAGTCACTTGCCCTACGCAGTACAAGTAATGAGTGTTTAAGTGGATCAGAGGATGGATCAGTAAGATTTTGGGGTATGAAAGTGATTTTTGCCCAATAGGCTTCATTSTGATGTCATTATGTTCTTCTTTGCTATGAAGGATTTTCCTTTTTTTGCTAGATTGCAGGGCAGGATCTATGACAAACATAGTAGAACCATATAAAGATAAGGTAAGTAGCATATTGTCTGGATTAAAGTTCAGTGATATTCAAGCTCTCTAATAAATATGTTTATATGCCAAAGATAAACTTGTTTATCATACTGACATTACACTTTTATGTCAGAATCTCAATAGACCTAAGTTTGGTAAATGGATTGGATGTACTGCCTTAGACCCTAATGAAGAATGGATGGTATGGAAATTGCATTTAACATATGCTGWATGGCTCTGTTTTCCATTGATTTTCATTGTTATTTTTGATGTAGGCATGTGGTGGAGGACCAAGATTGTCTATATGGCATCTACGCTCGTTAACATGCACAAGTATACTAGACACACCTGATTCTTGTCAACAGAATGCTTTATTTTATGAAGATACAGTAAGTTAAATAACAGTAAGAACCATTTAGACTAGACATGTAGAGTAATTAGAAAATCTCTATAAGTACAATATTATAAAAAGTGCTTTCAAGTTATGGTGTACATTTACAGTGACACTTCATGTTGACTTAAGTTCTTATATTAACATTGTGGTTATTTTCTTTTCACCTTTTCTTTACAGATTTTGTCATCTGGTACAGAATCATCAATTTTTCACTGGCAAGTTAATGGCGAATTGAGATCAAAAGTGCCTTGTACTGCTTCATCTGTTTATGCCATGAGAGTGAACTCAACACATAAGCAGGTAGATTATTAATCCATATGCCATGCATTTCAAAAGATGATGTCTTTACAAAAACTCTAAACATTCTTGTTGTTGATTATTTTACTTATGTTGTAGGTTTTACTTGTTGGAGGAAGCTCAGCAAACATTGATGCTTACATAAACTTTGGTTACAAAGCTTTTTCATTTACATTTTCATGATTCCATTTGCTGTTGACATCATCATTCACATGACAAGAACATAAGACGCGCGACCTATGTGTTTCCTGAAGTGACATTTTTCACTTCTTGAAAAAAAGGAAAAATACTTGAGAAAGCAAGAGTAAGGGTTGATCCAGGGGGTGATTAGGGTCGCTAGGTAACCCCCATCCTTTTAGGGTCAAGAAATGTAGAACATGTAATTATGATATAAATTAATAAATGCAGTTCAACCTAAATTTGACTCATTCTGAAAGGAATTTCATTTTTCTGCAACCTCATTAATGAATCCTTTGAATATTTGTTCTTGAGTTAGTCACCCCCTCTTTGAACATTCTGGATCTACCTCAGTAGAGATTATAGAAGAATGACCTCAATGCGTATAGCTAAACCATTGTGATATCACTGCATGTGACATCCAATAAAAACACAAAACATGTTAAGATAGCTAGAGGAATACTGGAAATACTTTAAACTTGCTTTTTATATCAATAAAATAATCTTTTACAAATTAATTCTTTTTTGAATTTGATTGTTTCAAACAAATTTGTAAACATTTGTTAATTTTTTCACTTTTACTTGTTGTATTATTTAGTAGTAAGAGATAAATAATTAATAAATGTTTTAGCATATTCGATTTTGTTTATCTGTCATCAACTCACTCATCCCAGATATTCCTTGTCAAAATTTAATTGAGGTTATTTTTTTGCCCTAGACGTGGACTTTCATAATTATTTTGGGCTACCTGTGGCGCGTGGAAATATTTGTTATGCTGCCATAGCAACAATATGCATTCAACCAATCACAGCTGCGTCCCGTGGATGTGTATTTGAGTCGCATAGCGTTTGAACGAAAACAGTTGGAATCCACACTTCATTGAAACTGTGTTTTCTTCGTTAGAGCTCGTTTTTTACCGAAATACTACGTAATTTTTGATATTCTTGTGGTAAGTGTCTATCATTTAGCTAGAATTTAATTCCGTGGCTCACGATTTGACAAGACTGAAAGCTTGGAGCAAGAATATTTGTTGAAATTTTCATAGAAGTCGTCTTCAATTCCCCAGTTCGAATTGTTACCAAATGTTTGATCTAMAAATTGTTTTATTTCAGATGGCAGCAACACTTGCAGCACCAGCTAAGCCAAAGTCCGTATCACGGCCTAAACATTGGAGTGTAGAAGTTGAAGAGGGTAGGCAAAATACCTTTTAATACCTTCATAAACAATCTTCCTTTTTATATGTAATTTCTTTTACTTGAAGTTATTAATGTAAATGGTTCTCAAACCTTCTCTTTTGAATTTTTAGCGTATAGATTTCAAATAGCTGGATATCGAGATGCTGTAGAGTATGGAGATATCAATAAAACTGCAGTGGTAAGTCTATCCGTTTGGGCCAAGAAAACAACCATTTATTTTGCCTATATAAAACTATTTGCTTAAAACCAGCAGCTGCCGGTAGCTCTTTAATAAGTCGTACCAACAACATTGGGGTATAATTTTTTGAAAAAAGAAGCCTTGGCAAGGATACGGTAATGGAGCTCTGCTGGTACACACAAAGTTCTTTTTTGCCATTCCTATTCACCTTATCCACCAAGCTAATGACAAAAGAAAATTCCCCTTCAGCACATTCTTTTTTCAGCCAAAAACCTTTAATGGATTTGTTTTAATATTTGCAGGAGCGATGGCCTCATAACAATTATGTTAAAAAGCTTCAAAGAAAAGATGGCTACTTTGTGTATTTCAACAAAACTAGAGAATGTGCCGATAAGGATGTGAATAAATGCAAGATGTATGGATATTGATTGACTGCATAAACAAATTCATAGGATATTTGATAAGAAGATCTTTATTCGTGTATTAATAATCTCTATTGTACAAACAAGGTTTAAAAATAGCAATATTTATGTTAATATGGCTCTAATGACTGATTACTTGCTTGTAAATTTAAACTCTTCTCAATGACATGTATATTTTGTAGATACTTTTAAGTATTAAAATCATTCATAGATTGATAATAAAACTGCATTTAGATTTTACTTCACTTTTAGATTACTCTCTAT